AGTTTATTAATTAATTAGTTAGGATGCGCAGGATGTTTGAGCGCAGTTACGGCTAGAGTTCGTGTGGGATGGATGAAATTTAGGGAACTGGGTGGGGTATTGTGTGGAAAGAAATGGTCAGTGAAGATGAAAGGGAGGGTATATAAAGCATGTGTGAGAGCAGCGATGGTATATAGTGGTGAAATTTTGGTGTTGAGGAGAGAGGAGGAAAGTGTACTGCAGAGGGCTGAAAGAGCTATGGTGAGGATGATGTGTGGGGTTAAAGTGAAGGATAGGAGGAGTAGTACAGAGCTGATGTCAATGATGGGACTGAATGAGGACATTGTGACATTGATAAGGAGATCGAGATTGCGGTGGTATGGACATGTGTTGAAAAGGGATGAAAGGGTCGGGATTAGGCAAGCGTTGGAGTTCGAGGTTGAAGGAGTGGTAGGAAGGGGTCGTCCGCGATTGGGATGGAGAGAACAGGTGGAGAAGGACAGGGTGAAAGCGGGGTTGCGTGATACTGAGGCGAGTGACAGATGTGGATGGCGTCGAGGGGTATTTCGGTTTCATCATAGGTAGCCAAACGGCAACTCCCGATCTTGGGGAAAATGTCGTCTAAACGTGTGTTGTTTGTTGTTGTTTGTTATTAATTAATTAGTTAATATATAAATTTTTTGAGGTTATTTTGATCAATTAATCTCTCTCTCTCTCTCTCTCTCTCTCTCTCTCTCTCTCTCTCTCTCTCTCTCTCTACATTTCCATAAATATTTTAACAACATTAATAATCATTGAAAATAGTATATTTTAGTATATTTTGACGATTTTTCGTTGATAATGTAATTAATAGAAGCTATTTAGCTATGATTTTACTCTGTTCTGCCTTCAAAGATTGTTTAAAAAGATAGATAATAATAACAATAATAACAACAAAAATCATGTTTGTAAAGTATATTATTATTTTTATTAATTATTATTTTTATTGTTGCCTGGTTTTCTTGCTATTAAAAATAACGCGATATCACGTAAGACAGACAGGCCTTTGTGTTGAATATTCCCTATTTAATATTTTGTTATGCATTTGTGTGTGTGTGTATATGTATGTGTGTGTATGTATGTGTGTGTGTGTGTTTGTGTGTCACATTTCGAGTATGTTTGTATGTGTAGGTGTATGTGCATCACGTTTTAAGTGTATGCGTGTGTATATCTGTAAGTGTATGTGTGTGTGCGTGTGTGTGTGTGTGTGGTGTACGTGTGTTAATGATATTTTAATTGTAATAATAGCTATTTCCACGTTTGTTCCATCCCTGTTTCGTGTTTTTAAACTACTATATATAACATCAACAACAACAACATGATTTTCGCAATTATTATTATTATTTTTATTATTATTAAATGCAATTGGATACCCTATTATTATTATTATTATTATTACGATGATATGCCACGTGGTTATGTATTTGTTGATACCACATTCTACAGCGCTTCACTTTGTTTGGTTTTTCGTTCAATTTGAATTGGCCGGTGAGGTTTTCAATGTTTCTACTTCATTTTATTGACGTTTTGATGTTGAAATAGGAAGTTTACGTTAAAATGACATTACAATTCTAGTGTTTGTGAAATGACATTAAAGAGTTGATGTTTTTGAAATGACATTAAAGTGGAGTAGTTCCTGCTTGTTCGTCGTCAAATAGCCATAGAAACAAAGGCAACATTAAGCGAGATCACCGAACGTGTATATGTTAGTTTTTTGTCTGTCCATTCGTCCATCTATATATTAATTAATTAATTCATCCATCCATTTATTCATTCATCCATGACTGACTGACAACACAACAAGACAACATCTTCGTACCGTTACATTGTTACATCATTGTGCATGTATGTGTAGCGTACGTTCGTAACAGCAGGATACGTTAACACGTGAAACAACAAAAGCTTCAATTAAGTTGATGTTTTTTTCTCATTCTCGGATTAATTAGATGAACGACATTAACCGCATCAATAAACACTCACCAATGCTATTCTTAATCTTATTGTTTAGCAGTGGTTTGTAAATTCGTCCAATTATTTTTCCGCCTGCAAAATTATGAAATTCGCCCGCCAAATTTGTCGCCTGCGTTTTTCTTTCCTCCTCGTTCGTTTCGTGCCTTAGATTCTGCGTATGTAATCAAAGGGTATGTATGTATATATACATATATATGTAGGTATTATATATATATATATGTGTGTGTGTACAATTTGTTTTTTAAACTAATCATAGTAAAAGTTGCATGCTGCTAAATAAATTATAACGGAGCTGATGATGATCTATCAATTTAATGGTTCTATTCTGCAATTCTATATAATGTTTTTTTTTCTTTCGTGTAAAACCTTTTGCGCTGTGTGTGTTTGCAATTATAATTATTATTAATTTGTTATATTATTTTTATTATTATTATTATGATGTTATTATTTTGTGAAAGTGTTGAAGTGTTGACTAAAGTTAATAAGTTTTCAACTTGTAGCTACATTAATACACAACAAATTGATTGATGATTGTAAATAAGAATTTATCTGTTTAACAGTTCAATTGAAAGTTCTATATTATTTATTATTTTATTATGAACAGTTTAATTTTTTGTAATTAGCCATTGTTGAATTTTGTTCTTAAGTTATTTGTCCATTTATACGAGCCATCATTTATAACTTATTTTACTTGTATCTACCAAAATGCGTGTTCATTCATTCATTCATTCGTTCACTCATTCATTCGTTCACTCATTCATTCATTCATTCATTCATTCATTCATTCATTCATTCATTATAGCTTCTGCTTGATGTGTTTAATGTTGTTATCTCGGGTATTTTAAGTTGCTGCCTAAACTCAACTTTTAACCTTTTTAACAAATGAATTCTTAATAAATGTCAATCGATTTGATATCTTTGTTTTGTCTCCTTTGTACATGAAGTTATTTTTATTCTTGGGTTCATTTATTTGTTTGAAATTAATTGTCTTTGTCGGAAATAGTTATTTTTTCTCTCAACAGTTGTTTGGTGTCATTTTCGCGCCAAAACAATGTAAAGCTTTTCATGTTTATGTTCATTCATTCGTTTGTTCATTTCTTCTTTTTTTCCTTCCTTTTGATTTGATTAACATATATATACATACTGTTCATAACTAACTGTAAAAATGTCTATTTATTTAATTGTTATTTAATTGTTTAATTCATTCATTCATTCATTCATTGATGCAATCATTGTTTATTCAATCATTTAAATGATTTAGTTTAGATAATTAATTGATGGATTGATTGAATACTTAGAGAAATAAATGAATACTTCTACACGTTGTAGCAGTTGTTAATGCCGGCATGGAATTTTTTTTACTTTGAACACGTAATGACTTTTTTTAAGAAATTGAAAATTTAAATTTTTGGTGCGGGTAGGTTGAATTGAAACGCTTGAAACGTTCGTCATCATTGTCGTCATCATCTCCATGGTCATCAAATAATGTGATGATGTACATCACAAAATCAACCTATCAGTGAACTCTTATCAAACAACCAACCAATCAGCGTCGCCGTCATCATCTACGTCATCTCCATCCAGCAACGTCCTTGCTATCTAGATGCTACTTTCTTCTTAACTGTTTTATCGTTCTTTGTCGTCTTCCTGTCCATCATCTCATCCATCTCTTCCTTGTCGCGCTTCAGGGAAGTATTTTGCGAGTGATTAACATTAATGTCGTCATCTATAGGCTAATGATTGGTGACGTCATATCTTTTGCTTTCGCCATCGTCGTCATTGCGTTAGTGCAAGCCAGTTATAAAAGTTATATGATATTCAGGAATCGAAACGAAATAAATTAGTTAATTAATTGATAAGTAATGAATTGGAATGACGAAACAGACTAAAACAGGACAACAAGGTGATGAAAAATAGCGGACGTGTTTCAGATTAGCGACTTTATGATTTTTGTGCAAGAAGATTTTAAAGATATGTGGTTAATATTAATACTATTGTATAAATAATCATAACTATTAATTGTTATAGCTATTACTATAATTATAATTATTATTATGTTATATAAATAATATTAACCATAACTTGTTGAAGTTCGCACGTAAGTCTTATGATTTCATCTTTGTACTCCTCCATTCTTTCATTTATTTCCATCCTTTCTGCACGCTCCATATCTAACTGTCGTTTCAGTTCTGTTAGCTGGCTGCGAGTGTGAGTTTAGTTAGTTTGTATTTTTCAACCAATCAGCTGGTTTGTTTAAAAAAATGACCGGCCAATCAGCGAACACAATGAATTGACCAATAAGAAAGAGGTACCAAAAAGCCAACCAATCACGTACCGTCTATAATTTTCGACATCACTGATTTTTTCTTCTACGACACCATCCACCACTCCACCCAATTGGATGAAATTCATTTTGGCTACCTCATATTTTTTTTCCATTTCTAACAGGAGATTTTTGGCTCTCACTTTTGCAAATGGGGATGAAGATGATGATGCGATGATGGTGATGATGACGTTGATGATGATGATGTGATTGTTTATGTTGATGATGATGATGTTGTTGTTTATGTTGATGATGAAGTTGTTGATGATGATAATGATGATGATGTTGATAAATGGTTAAACAAACTTTTGGTCTTTTTATTAGAATAATCATCATCACCACCATCATCATCATCACTAGCTCGGCTATTTCTAGAGCTTCTTCTTTGGATGTTATTATTGTTATTGTTCTTCTTATTATTCTTTCTTTTCTTTTTTGGTCTTTTTCTCACTGTAACATTTTTTGAGTTTGCTTAAAAAAACGCTAGTTAAGAAAACCCAGAAAAAAGTTTAGTTAAATAACTCTATGAAATGAAATCTAAAACTAACCCATGAAATCGTCAACGTCATCATCATCGTCATCGTAATCACTTCGGGGAATGCCATTTTCGCCACCACCATCGTCGTCATCGTCCTCATCATTGACGGCATCTCTAGAGTTGCGCTGTAACATTTGAAGCGCGGGAAGCTGAGCGAATCGTCTGGCGACGTCGACCACGGATTCGCCAGCTTTGTTCTTGATCCTCGTGTTGGCATCGTGCTCTATCAGCCATTGTAAGATGTCTAGATGACCTTGGCCTGCAGCTAAATTTAATTGCTGTTGTTATTATTGTTATTATTATTATCATTTTTATTGTCATCATCATAATTGGGGAGAGAGGGGTTTAGTCAAGGTAGGGCTCTGGAGATTATCCACGTAGACGGTAGATGATTTCGTTAAGGTTAAAGGTGAATTTAAAAGCAAATCTTCATTCAAATTTACAGTTCGAATTGTTTTACACTTTCAGCACTCCGCAGACAACAACGTTTGTCAATTTTTTTTTATAAAAATCACCGACTTTACTACGAAAAAAGGGGTCGGAAAATTTTTTTAATTGAAGCCGATCTTTTCTTAACAGACTACAGACTGTATTTCTGGCCAATGTACCGAAGAAGAATATTGATAGAAACCTTTGTGTGCTGGTGTAGCTCCATTGTCGTCCCTCTCGTCAATGTGGACAACCTTTCATATCAAAATTCATTTTTAATCAAATTTCCTCCGAAAAATATTTTTTGATTGAGAAAATCTCGTATTTCTTAAATAAAATAAAATAATTAATTCCCTAGTAGTATAACCTTTGAAAACATTTGCACATAACATTAACAGATAACCAGTAACATTACTACGTGACAGTAACACGTAACATTAACAATTGTAATTAACTACTTCATCCCCAAACCTGGTTGTCAATCAGCATGACCAGATGTTCCAAATCGCCGGTGTATGCAGCAAGATGAGCCGGAAAAGATGCGCCTGTATGGTTGATGTTATGGAAATTTGTTGCCGGCAAAAAGTGAAAACATCAATTACCTACATTTATTAACTCCAATTACATTAACTGACATTTATTGCGTTAATTAATACCAATTAAATTAACCGATACAATATAATGTATTGAAACATATTACAAAAATGGCGAGAACAAACCATAAATTATAGCAACAACACCAAGAACAATAAAAGCAATAATAAAATAATAATAATAATATTAATAATTATAATAACTTTTAGCCTCTTCCGGATGTTCGACTTCCCATTGTAGATTCTTTATGTATTCGACGACATGTTGTTTATTGTACTGATGTGCTAACATTAGTGCCGTTTCCCCTTACATTAGTATTTGTGCGTGTTTGTGTGTTTGCGTGCGTGTATCTATTCGTGTATGCGTAAGTACGTAAGTGTGTGTCTTTTCATATATTTGTAAATGTGAGCGTGAATTTTGAGGTGCACCTATGCATCTGTTGATATGTGTGTGTGTGTGTGTGTGTGTGTGTGTGTGTGTGTGTGTGTGTGTGTGTGTAGTGAAGCGTGTTTGCTTGTGTGTGTGTGTTTATGTTTATGTGTACGTGTGAATGTCTGTCTGTCTGTTTGCAAACAAAACTGTGTTTATTATATATTGCTATGTATTGTCATATATCGCTTCATATTGTTAGGTACCATTGTTGTTTCTGTCTTTCAGGCAATTGTTCCATTTACTTTTATGTTCACCCATGATGAACTTCAAACATGAAAGATGCCCTGACGTGGCAGCTAAGTGAGCTGTTTGATTTAATAATCGGCTGGATAAATCATTCAAATGAGAAGTTCATCTACCTACCAACCAATCAGCAAATCAATTACTCGACCAACCAGCCAACTTTCCAACCAACCAACCTGCAAACCAACCAGCCAAACTGCCAATCAGCCAGCTAACTTGCCAACCAACCAGCCAACCAATAGCCAACTTGCCGACCAACCAGCCAACCTGCAATCCTACCAGTCAACCAGCCAGCCAACCTGCCGTATTTCCCATTCCGTCAACCTCCTCAACAGATCCGCCCCACCTGACGAGGAGCTGTAGACATCCAAGCCGGCCATGATAGGCCGCACAATGCACCATACTCCATTGATTCTTGTCTAGCATATTTATGTCCTGCATAGAACGTAATTTATTTTAATTATAATATATTATTTTAATTATAATATATTATAATTTATTATAATCATAATGCAATTATAAACGTTTTTATAAAGTTTAAAACAATTTTCGAGGCCTGCCTTTTTGCAAAATTTATCGAGGATTGCTGTCTACAAAATGAAAAGATCGAAGTGGCATAGAGACGACATAATTGATTTCAATGATTTGCTATTTGATCTTGAAAATTGCGAGACGAACTGTCAAGGCAAAGATGGCTCTTAAAATTGTTTGTAAGAAAGTGGAAAACTAACACATCCAGCTCTGAGAAGGGTGTGGAGGACACCAGCGTGGCCATGAACGACTGCCAGGTGCCCTGGTGTGCTCTGTCTGATGTCTCTCGCTGATATATCTACCCCTGCTTTTATCAGGGCCTTTCAATGTTTTAAAACGCAGCGTTTTAACTTTTTTTGAATGTTAAATTAAATTTTAATTGCTGTAATTTTTATTATTTTGATAGTTCTATAGTTTTAGTCTAAGATTAAATATGAAAATATTCTTTTAGTTGTTTGATCAGACATTCAACCGTGCAAAAAATTTACGAGACTGAACGTAAAGACCTGAACGCAGTGGTCGTGACCTTTGACGGCGGCCACGTGCAGGGGCGTCCAACCTCTCGCCGACTTCACTGACGGATCAGCATTGTGCCACAACAGCCAATGCAGACACTTCAAGAATGTATTTGAAAGACGTTTGAATTGAATAAAATAATGGATTTCTTTGTATGAATACTTTGATGTACATATATTTTCCGTTACATATGAAAATTCATTAATTTATTTTATATAATCTTGCTGGTTTAGAACCTTTGAGTTTCAGAGTTGAAATACAATATTACATTCGTGTTTGCTTTATTTATATTATAACAACTATCAAATGTGTGATATTCACTTCTAACAATGATAAGCACGAAAGAAATATTATTTAATGAGAAACAAACCTCGAGTGCATTTTTAATACTGGCCCAATGCAGAGGACAGAATTTATGTCTGCCGTTCGTTTCAATTTCGTTAACACTGGCTCCTTCCTTAACCATTCCTTCCAGTGCTTCTACATTCCCATCCTTCACAGCATCATGTATCGTCTTGTACTGGTTCGCTTTCAAACTCATTAAGATTAACTTCAACTGATTCTTCAATATCACAAAGTTTCATTAACTTTAAAAAGTTGAAATACGAAGTTTGTTATTAGCGTATCCATGACGACGAAGTGCACCTGAAAGGTTCATCTAATAGTCTTCTACCTACCTACCTGCTCATCACAAATGGCGGGACCAGATATAACGAACGATCCGGATATAACGAACAATGAGGAATTTTGGTTGGCCGGCAAAACGGTTCTTTCCGTTCGTCGAGTAGTGTTTTAAAACACGAATAAACAACAATTTCGACTCGCCAGACAGCTTACCAACTCAAATGATTCAAATTTCATTTTAAGATTTCAAGACAAACTGCAATCAACGCGGATTAATTTATTGAAAGTATTCACGTCAAGTTTCAATTGAAAACATCACCATATACATATCATTAATTAAACAAGCAAAATATAAGGTTATCTAATATGCACACGTGCGGTCTTCGGTTGTCCTATTCATAAGTAATATAAAAATGATAAATAAATATAAATATAATGAATCAATTAATTGCATTAAGTTACAGTTCAACGTTCGTTGTTTCCATGCTATACCGGCCTTAATTAATTTAGAACTTTAAATCTACTAGAGAATTAAAAATAAACTAAATCAAAATTTAGAAAACATTGTTCAAAAACATAAAAAAAATAAACGAACGAACGAATGAATGAATAGATAAAAATGTATTTGTACATTTGTATGATCTAGGTAGGAAGAGAGGAAGCATAGGGGGTTAACGATGTTTGAGCATTTTTGAAGGGTTGTTAAGCTGGTTGGGTTCCCTGAGCTTGATGTTGATCTGATGGATTCGCAAGCAGTGTATGCGCAGGTCCAGCCTGTTCTTGTATGACTTTGAGCAGAGGTGGCAGACGTAGGGCTTCTCCCCCGTGTGGGTCCTTACGTGGGTCTGCAGGTGGGACCTCTGCGAGAATCTATTGCCACAGTAGCTGCACTCAAACGGACGTTCCCCTGTGTGGATGCGATTGTGTTGGACCAAGTTCAGCATGGCAGAGAAAGTTTTCCCGCATGTTTGGCATTCAAATGGTCGTTCCCCGGTGTGCATTCTAGTGTGAGAAATCATCTGAGACTTGAAGGCAAACCCCTTCCCACATTCGTGACACTGGAATGGTTTAGAGTCGGAATGTGCCATCACAGTGTGCAACTTGATTGACGTGCGAGATGCATACTGTTTGTTGCAGAACTCGCACACAAATACTTCACGTTCGTTTTCAATTCTAGAGTTGATCATAGAGCTTGCTCCAGCCCCTCTTTTGTGAACCTTCACTACGTGACTGATAAGAGTCGACTCCTTCGAAAAAGTCTTACCACACTCGTTGCACAAGTGCCACTCAGATGATCTGGGATTTTTTGCATGGGCAACGGCCAGATGTTGTTGCATTTCTGCTTTCCCAGTTATTGCCAGACCGCACAACTCGCAGAGATTTGGTTTTGTTTCTTCTACATGCTTCTGCATGTGATGGTCATAGGTGGACTTTTTGGTGAATGTCTTCTGACAGGTTTGACAGAGCCAAAGTTTTTTGCCAGCCTCGTTGACAGGCGATGTACTGTTAGAATCCTCTCTGGCTGCCGCTTCCTCACTCACCAACTTCACTTCTGTAACCTTCTCCTTTGCACCGTCAATACCATTTGCCTGATGATCAGTTTGGAATAGTTCATTTTTGTCTACATCACCCATCAGTTCATCGATGGCAAGTGAGTCAACTATCAGCTCCGTATTTTCTGGCTCATCCTCCATCTCATCTTCCCTGGGTGAAGAATAAAAAAAATTAATAAGTGATTTGAGTTTGACAAATTAATAAATGGACGTTAACAGATAATGAACAAACATCAGAGACACTTTAATCTGATTTAAAAATCTTGTACCAGCATACAAATGATTAAATAGAAAACAATAATAGCTCTACAGTTAGATGAGCGAATAGTAACAACATCACAACGATCAACATATTAACTGATGAAGATGAGCTGAAATAATATTGTATCATATTGCCTCCTATTTAATACAATTGTTCTTACTTATACTTAATTAATTTTAATATAAATAGTTATTTTCAAAAAATCATGAATAATTCAAATTGACAAACAAATTACCCTCTATAATCAACAACGAATTCTCCCTTGCTAGTTAGGTCGATACCAAACAACTGGAAGGAGTCAAAAAGTGTTGGGGGAAGCTTAACCTCTTTTTCATTTTGATAAGGCAGAATTAATTTACCGGAGTAGATGTAATCTACGACGATCTGTAACATTTCAGGCTCGATACCTGGCAGACGTATGTAGTACATCTCTGGTTGCTGGTACTGTTTAAAAACTGATTGAAAGAATGGAGAAGCAGAAGCCAAGATTACACTGTGCGCTTTCACATGCTTGGTACCTGCCATCAAAACTGTATCACACAGGAAACCTTTCCTTCTTAAAGCAAAACTAGTCGTCATGATCTTCAAAAAATGTTCAGAAATATCCATTTTGCTTCTTCAATAAACCTGTCAGTTAATAATTAATGAAAAAAATATTAATAGATATGGAGAAGAAACAGTTAATGTCAAATGACTTTGATCATTGATGAGTTCGAATAAATTTGATTGACAAGTAAACATTCTCAGAGCCAACAGAACTAAAATCACAAACAAAACTTACACTAATAAAAACATACAAACTAACAATTTTTAAAATAAATTAACCAATGAATAAAGGATAAAAAATCCAAACAGCTACCCAGCTATGAAGCTATGGCTATGTATATAAAATTAGGGAGAAATTGTTTAGGCTATTTTTATAAGTCCAACCTATAACGGATGGAGACTATAAAAGTATAAACTAAACGAGGATTGATTTTTAAAAAACTTTGCTTTGTCAATGACCATTATGTCATTTAAAATTTAATAGTTCGTATATTATAAAATTCAACTGAATTCTAATGAAAAAATGAATAATTTATAATTTTATATATCGTCATATTCCAAATTTTTCCCTACAATTTACTTCTACCCAGCCAAGCAATATAAAAGTTATTTGTTAATAATAATTTTTTTCAATTTTAAGCATCACATCCTTTCAGAGGGTTTTGCTGGGGGCCATGGTTTCTCTGTCTAACATAAGCATTTCAAAAATAAAAAAATAAAATTAAAAAACTAATTAATTACTGAAAAACACGGATGGGGTTGGTTGCTCAATGTTTTTTTTTAAATTCAGAAATTCAGCATAGATAACAATCGTATTCCGAATCAAATTCACTAATCCACCACATTGCTCCGTCCGATAAAATTTTTAAAAAGTCTACGCAAGAAGCGAACGAAAATGACATAATTGATTGAACAAATTTTTATAAAAGCAAATTTGAATTAAAATCTCATGAAAGTGAAATAAAATTTCGATGCAAAGAATTGCGAATTTGCGAAAAAATTCACTAACCTTTCTATCTTTCCACTAATATGTCGTTGTATCGGTTTGGCCGTATTTCAAACAACCCAAAAACTCTGAATATGCAAGTTGGCACGCTTGGATACAGTCACACATATATATACCATTAGACTTGCACATTATAAGTTATTTTTTACTATTTCCTTTAAATATATGTAATAATTTAGTATTTTTATTTAAGATTACCAAATCCGAAATGTGACTAAGTTGGTTGATCGTAAATTTTAACGAGTTTTACAATTTGATATCAAACCACGTGTTTTAAAAATTTTAATTATGCAGAAATTAGATTTTATAGCCGGATGCAGGCCCTGGAAGAGAGCGGTGGGGGTTAGGATGGTCATTTGACATGGGCCTCCAAGTTTAAGGAACCTCTAAAAAGAGGCTTCTGAAGTAATATAATAATATTGAAATGTAATTTAATCCACATATCATCTGATTCTTGCTTCAGAATGGTACTTTCTGATGTATCAGGTATCAAAATGGTTCTTTCAGATGTACCAGGCATCAATGCCGTAATAAATTATCTTTGATAAGTAAACGCTTTGTTTTTATTTACTTATAAACAAGTTTTTCTATTTATTCAAAGTTGAGTCCAAAAGTTATATTACGGTTGATCTAAGAATCTCTTTGTGGCATAATTGCATTAGCAAAATAAAGTACGGGTAGATTTCTATCTCGGGTATGAACAAAACATGCTAACAAAATTAAATATCTCTGGGGATATTTGGCGCCAACAAATTTTTCTTTGCACAGTATGAAATCGATTATTCCAGTTATTCTTTAACTCTTTAATTTAGGTACATAATATTTTGGTACTAATCTGATAACAAAAACTCAACGAGATAACGTTAATATTCCAGTGGAAATTGTACAATGAACATGTATGAAAAAAGTAAACAAGAAAATATCAGTGAAATCTGCTTCACTCCCATGGTTCGTTCAGTTTTTGACTTTAAAGGGCTGTTCATTGTTCGATCTAAATTTTCAAAATGGATAATTTTTCAGAATTTAATAAAAATGTCAAATTTATGAGCATTTTTATTAATTATATTAAAATAAACAATTAGGTAAAAGTTAATCGGACGCCCTCGTGCTCTACAGATGATATGGTGATTGTGTCAACAATGACAATCTAAGGTTTTTAGATTTTGGAAGCGAATGGCTAATTAAACGTGTTTGACAATTTATCTGTTGTCAATCAATACTGACTGTAAGCTTCAATGAATTGATAGACAGCTTCAAATCCAAATCCATCGTAAACTTCATTTGAAGAAAATGTTACTCTAAAAAAATTTCCATCTGAAATGACGTCATTCAGGAGCATGGAGCCACCGAGTCGACCGCAGTAGCGCATGAATTTTCGGTCAGAAATGCGCAGATTGAAGTTGGAGAACTGAACGTAGTCGTCGCCTATGCATCTTTTGAGTGATACAATCAATAAAAATGATTAGACGATTCATTAATTTGAAATAATTTAATCATTTTTTAGTGCAAAAAATTGTGAAAACTCAAACAATTACTTACTTAGGAAATGTTCCGTCAAGATCGAAATAGTTGAAGTGTATTTTAACATATTCGTTGGGTCTGCCGTAGAAGAAGTAGTGGCATTCGGTCGAGCGCGGGTAGAGGCCAGGGTAGTTTGGGGAGGTTATGCTTCCTTTGCTGCCACTTTTTGTGCTGTGGTAGGCGTAACCACAAGCTGCCAGTCAGTTTGGTTAGCGTCAGTTGGTGAGTTGATTTTTCAAATTATTTTATTTTATTTTCAAATCGCTTAGTTAAACATGATCTTTCAGGACCGAAAATAAAAAAAATTTCAATTCTGCAACATAAATTAATACCCATTAATCAATTTATTATAAATTAAATTGTAAACGTGTTAGAACTCACCAACATCATCGGCCTTGGTTCCACTTTTTATACCGAAATCAGTTACGAAAGCAAACTTGGCTCTAAAGCCCCGACCTTGGTGTGATTTTTGACCTTCGTAAGTCACTAAGTTTACCTTTATTTGGAACAAAAGTGACAAAATTATGTCAATTTGGTTTTGAATACATAATAATGAAAATAGGAACAAAAATTATATTGATAGGTTCAGATGGTATGAAAGTATTTGTGTACATTTTCCCTCGTATAGTAGATGTAAACCGTATCTAAATAGCGCTAATGTGGAAGAGTGTGACGATAAGATAAAATAAAAAACAATGGCAGTTTCCACCTTTTGACATGAATGTCACCGAAAAATCACCAGGCATTTGCATAAAGAAAAATTATCTTTCATTTTTGAAACAATGTATTTAAACAAATACCTAACTATGCTATAGGTCCTTTTAAAAATTTCTACATTCTTGCTCTAACCTCCAATCTGTTGTCGGAAGACATGATGAGGGGTGGCTTAGCCCTCTTGCAGTAGACCCCTATGTCTCTTGGGAGGCCTCTTACGTAGGACGTCACTGTCAGTGAATCTATGCCATCGCATCTAAATGAAAATATGCTGAAAATATTTATGAACCCTGAAATTTTTAGAGAATAGTGTTTTTTGTTCCATACACACACACACGCACACACACAGAGTACGTGACGTCATACAAATGACGTCATACATATATGAATGCATCATTACAGTAGACGAGTATTTCTTTTCGAATTCCGAACCAAAGCAAGGCCTCTCACTTCTGACCACACCATCTTGCTGATATTAAGAGTGATGCAACATTTCAGACGTGTGGGTGTTTTCAAGCATTGCTTTGTGAAATATGCAGTTGACAAATACGTGAAACATACCCATGCGATTTTGAATCATCGGCTGGATGCGACAGATCTAGCTGGCTGAATGTCAGCTGCACCCTTTCAAGTCCCACTCCAGCGAACAAGTACCTACACATCACTGCCGTGACGTCACTGTACGGGATGGGGTAATTAGGGGAGGTGAAAAATCCCGATTTGAACTTGACACTCGTGAAGTTGACATCGCAATTCGGGAACCATTGTCCTAATTAAAAAAGAAAGATAGAAAAATAAATTGGGAAAATTTGTATATTTTCACTATTAAAAAATATTAATTCAGTAAATTTAAAGAATAAAAAGTCTAAAATTACCAGACGTCAAACGCGAATATAGAAAAATTAACTTTATAAAAATAATTACCATTGATTTGAACATGTTGATTAGCTAGTTGGCTGGTTGGCCAATGAGATTGCTACTTTCACTCATTCATTATTTTATATCCAGTCACATTTTTATTGATTTTGTTTAAAAAATAACATACAGACATTGACGAACGCAACAATTGCATTAATAATAATAATAAAAAGAAAGTTAATAATAGAAAAGGTAATATTAACAATAATGAGAATATGTATAGCGATGAAATGCGGAAATCATTCAAAATGTCAATAACAACGGAAAAAAGGAAAGTAAAAAGACAGAAAGAAAGAAAGAGAAAAAGAAAGAGAAAAAGAGAGAGAGAGAAAGAAAGAAAAAGAGGAAGATATAAAAATTAACATAGAGCAAAATAAATTTCAAAGTAGTCTTGCAAATAAAAGAATAAGAAACATGGATAACAAAAAAAATATAGGCCTTTTGGCTCACTTTTGTCTTGTAACTTTGGCGTTTCGTGTCGTCTTTGGTGTCGACGACGATGATGATGATGATGATTGTGGTAATGACGGCGATGATGATTGTGATGACTAACGACACGACGATGATGATTATGATGATTGAAATCATGATGATAGTCGAAATAGAAGGAGTGAAGACTCTCGCTTGCCAAGAACGAATAGCTGCAATGATTTATTGGAATTATTTTTTTTATTAGTTTTATTATCACTTTGTCATTCACATTATATTATTATCATTATCATCATAATAATGTTGTTATTATTATTATTATTATCATCATCATCATCATTACCTAGCCTTGAATCCTTTCCCCTGATGACAATCGTCAACGATGAAATCAACAAATAGATGACGTTTCGATGACGTCATCATTATCCTCATCATCCTGTCATCATCATCATCATCGTATTCGTCACGTGAGCAAATCTGCTGAATCACGTGATCGGTGACGTCGCTCCCGTCGCGAGCCAAGATGTAGTCGTTGCTGTCTAAACAGCTGTGAATGTGATGGATGGGCGGTTGGTTGGATGAGTAGATGAATGAAAGAATGGATGGATGAATGGATTGATAAATGAGTATATTGACTGATGATAAACAGATAGATTGGTGATTGAGTGAACGACGGATCATTAAATAAATGAATAAAATGATAGACGAAGAGTTAATAAATAAATAGAAAGATGAACGAATAAAAATTTATTGAAAAACAACAACAACAACAACAATGACAACAAACCTATAAACAGTCGTTTCCAACTTAATTTCTTCAAACAAAACCCCAACCACCTGATCACTAATTCCTCTAAATAGATACGTGCAACTCGATTTTGGCGGGTAATTTTGAGGAAAAGATGGAGAAAAAAACCTTCCACATCTGCCGATTTTATTTTTTGCATTTTTATAACTATCATTATTATTGTTGTTTTTATTATCGTTGTTGTCAAAGGTGTACATACACGTTGATTGCGCTGCTTCGTGATTCGTTGCTCCTGATGTCACGAAGTTCGCTGTTGTAGTCGTTGAGTATGTGTGTGTGTGTGTGTACGTGTTGTGTGTGTGTGTGTGTACGTGTGTGTGTGTGTATGAGAAAAAGAGTGTGTGTGTGAGAAAGAGTGAGAGAAAAAGAGTGTGTGTGTAAGAGAGAGGAGAGAGAAAGAGAGAGAGAAAGAGAGAGAGAGAGAAAAAGAGAGAAAGAGAGAGAACAGTTTGACGGACAAAGAATTTAGAACATAAATTTAGTCATAAATAAAACCAGTGGCAATAATTAACAAAGGTGACGATAATAGTTTTTATTTCAATGATAATGATTTATTATGATATTAATGATAATATTAATTATAATTATAATTTTTATTATGATAATTATGATAATGATAATTAGGATAATGATAATTGAATTTGGGGTTCCCTTACATTTTTGATGAAACCTAAACATTCCGTAAAAAGAGATGATTCTCCCCTCCATCATTCCTTTATTGCTGTTTTCTCTCAATCCGAATTTTAATAATAAATAATTAGTGGAAGAATAGTAATAGTACTGGTGGTGTTGCTGCTGCTCTGGCTGCTGAGAAATGGGATGATGATGATGATGTCCGTAATGATGATGATGATGATGATGATGTCCGTAATGATGATGATGTTGTCCGTAATGATGATGATGAGAAGGAGGAGAATGATGAGGAAGAAGAAGATGATGATTACGACGATGGTGATAACGATGGTGAATTATTGATTGACATATCTCTTCATCCCATGAATTCAATTCAGTGAGTACGGGTTCTGGTTGGTTCAGGTAAAGCCTTACATACGCTCTGTTGCAGCTGCCAATGTTAGTAATAATAATAATAATAATAACAACAACAACAATAATAATAATTCTGACAATTATTTTGCAAAAAATGGCATTAATAATCACGTCATTCACAGGGTAAACAACATCATAAAACTAGTAAAGACCTGTTGTTTGTTGAGTTGTCGCTATGGAAGTTGACGTAAATAAAATGTACCTCAACAATTTCGTTGACGCCCCCATTAAAAGTATACAAATAACAAGTTGACGGGTTTACGTCGATGCTGTTGAAAAGGTTGTTGCCAACAATGTTGATGGAATTGTTGTCGTTGCCAGCTTTGTTGCTGAGGTTGTTGTAGTTTACGCTATTGTGGTTGACTCTATTGTGGTTGTGGTTACTGAGTTTGAGGATATATTTGATTAAACTATTTGAATAAATGCTATTCTGGCTGGGTGTTGTTTGCCTGTTGTTAATGTTGTTTATGGTGTTATCTGGATTGGAAATATTGTTGATGTTGTTGATGACCGTCTTGACGTCATCTTTGTTGCCGTAGTAACTTGGTGACGTGAAGAAACCACGTGATTTAAATTTGCTGTCAAACTTTACGCATTCGCAAGCGGTTGCTGGCCCTATAAGGATTATATCAACTTCAATATAGCAACGATTACAACAACAACATCAACAACAACAACAACAACAACAACAAATAATAATAATAATATAATATTATTATAAAAGTTATTATTAATAACTATCTATAAATTATTTTTCTGACCTCGAATGCCCAATTGATCGGATGAAATCACTGGTAAAGAAACTACTGGCATCAATAACACTAATAACATCAACATTATCATTATTATTATTTTTTATTATTATTATTGTTGTTGTTTTAGTAGTAGTAATCGTAATGGTAGTAGTAGTAATAGAAGTAGCAGCAGCAGTAGTAGCTGTAGTATTTTTCAGTTTTATGTACTCATATATAATTATCTTCTGGTTGTATTAGTTTGTTTGTTTAATTTTATTAAAGTTTGTTCAAGTTCACAGAATTTAAAAAAATTTTTAAAAATTTATTCATTTTAAAATACCGACTTTATTCGACCGATTCACCGATTGAGAATGGAAAAACTTTTAATTGTATCTCATATTAAGTATATGTGTGTATGCGGTATTTGTTGTATCACAGCGTTTGTATCGACATATTTATTTCCAGAGGTTTTGTTCTCAATTTTCTTACTACAGAAAATAAAATCAAACTTATAAAATGAGAACAAAACAAGAGGCATATATTTTATTCCGCAAAACGCAAATATCAGCTAAAAAAATTTACTTACATATATTTAAACATACAAACTGACAAACATACAAACTGACAAACAGACAAACAAACAAACATTCTTGTTGTTGCTATTCTTGCTGCTGATGTTTCTGGTTTTTTCTAATCGGAGTACTTAGTAGATTGACTTTTCAGGCTAACTTGATTAAGGTTTAGAAAGATGGTCTTCCTATATTCATATATTGTATAAGATTTTTTTTTCGTAAATGTGTGTGTGTGTGTGTGTGTGTGTGTGTGTGTGTGTGTGTGTACGTAAGTGTACGTCTGTATGTATGCGTGTATGTGTGACGGTGTATAACATTTAATATTATTTCTTCTTACTACGCAATGGGTTTTAAAGTGAAAATTTTGTTTAAAACCATCCAATTTAGTATGCTAACGAACATTTACTGTTAAAATTCACATCAAAATTTGTCAGACTGTGTTAAATTAAGTGTTAAAGAAAGAGGTGCAATCATATCATGATACTATATCATTATGTATTCATAAATGATAATTAACGTTTTAGTTTCATTTTTAGTATAATATCATTCATTAACATCTATTATTATTTGCATTAGGCCTCTGAACATAATCTATTAAGATGTTTTAGCCATTCTTCTTTTAACCCTGGCGAACAAAATAAAATCGTAGATGAGTTCCAGTGCTTCAACAACGGTTAGGAATGTTGCACCAAGCAGAAGTCCTAGTGCTCCTCCAAGATCACTCATAAGAGCAACTAGGCCGTAACTCTCTGTGGTCGTGATGTACGTACATTGTAAGCTACTCAAATAGATCGTCAGCAGACTCTGGTTGCTTGTTATTTCTTCGAAGGTTTGGTTCGGGCCGAAATCTTTCAGCATTGCTTTGACAAAATTTCTGCCGAGGTCGGAGCCGGTGACGGACGGTGTGTAGATGGTCTCGGTGCAGAGGGGCGGGCAGTCGCAATAGATTGGGTCGTCGTTCCTCATCTGGTAGAACTTGTCAGTTATTGTACTGGCACAACTCTGCTCCTCCAGATAATCGCAGATGGATTCATTTCTTATAGCTGAATTTGATAAATAAAAATTTTGAAGCAAACTTTAAAACACAGCTTGAGAAGACTCGATCAGTGGTTTACGAGAGTTCACATTCATAGATGCACATAGGATCAAATGTTAAACGCGACGGCAACAACCTTCCATGTAGATAGGCCTGCAGTTGCAGCGTTCGATGATTTTCTCGGCGATGCACCTCCATTCGCACTTGACGGGATGGTAGCCGGGAGTGCTGTAGCAGGGCTCGCTTGGTCGGTTCAGTCTCGTTATCTTGTTGTTTTCAACCATTATTTCGTTAAAATATATTTTCTTGTATTTTTTTAATAGTGTAGTGACTGTACACTGTAGTCATTTTATAAAAAAATCAATTGAAGGATTCATTTAATAGCACCTAAAGCAATCTAGCAGTGTAAAGATATTCAGGTGGAAAGTAGTTTAAAAAACATGCAAATAATATACTCGTCTGGCGTTATATAGTTTTGTCTTCAAAATGTTTAACAGAAACAATAAAAAACCACTAAATTTGTAGCAGAACGTCAAATCAAACTAATTAGGTACTTTTGTAACAGACACTGCAATGCTCACTCCCTCACCAAGGTTGGCCTTGAATCCAAGTTCAGCCATTCTGGGTGGCTCATCTGGCTCGTGCAGTAGGACCTGGTTGGTGATTGACCTTGCACACATAACACAAACAATAGTGATAAAAAATTGTATGAATGGTTTGTAGAAGTGTTACTCACCGTGTATCCAACAGAAGAAGTCTGCTGGATGAAGTAATCAGTCTCATTGGCATTGAGAAGCAGCTGAATGCCCAACGTAGCTCCGGGCCGAGTGATTGTAAAATTCATTGCTCCTAAAATGATTACATTTTAATCGGTTGACAATTTCCAAAAAAGACTGTCGGAGAAAGTTAAATATTTGTTATTTTTAAAAACATTTATATTTCTAACATCTTAGACAAGCTAAAATGGGTGATAATGGGATGATGTTACTTGAATCTATGTAGAGACACTGCCCGAAATCCGTGAACCTCATAGTAACGGCTTCATTTTTGCAAGGTTTTTTATTCCACATACACTGAGATATTGAGAAATAGTTTTACATCACAAATTTGATGAAATCATGCTAGAAAAAATAAAATTGTATTAAAAAAAACTGCAAATTTTTTTTACGAATTTCATTTGGTCCCTTCCAGGGGAGAGAAAGTTTCTTCTTTCAACGAGTGCAGTTTGGTTGGTTTCCTTCACTACATTCCTTACGGTGCTTGCGTTTGGAGTGCCAACGAAGAAGGGAGGCATGAATTGCTTGAAATAACTTGTCAGTCCTACATTCGCCAGAAAATATATGGTGTCATGATGGGAAAATAATACTTATTGAAACTTTGATTCAAAAAATTCAATTTTCATTTTCAATCATCTCAATCTGAGCTTTCGTTGATTTGAAGTTGTTTATCTATTTCTATTGACGCTGCAGTTTTCAGCGAATTTGAAAATAATTCAGATATTAGTTAAAATTCACGTTAATAACAAACAATTGCATCACATAAATGTAATGAAGAATATTAAGATTAAACTTTTGCGCACCTAAGTCAGTGGCAGCGGACAACTTGATGTAGTTGTTATTGCAGATGGTAACTTGTGGAAAGTTCAGAATGGTTGACTGGTTCACGGTGATCACAGTTGACGTTGGACTTTTCAAATACTCGTTGACTCGATCGTTGCATTGAAAGATAGCAACTCCGATGCTGGCCAGTATGAGGAGACTCCAGAGAAGTCGGTTGGCCGAGGTCCGATTCGAATCGAAACAGTGCCTGAACCTTGAAGTCAATCATATATTTTGGTCACTTTTAGGTGTAGCAATTAATAATGCACATCGTTGAAATGAAGTTCATTAAAGATTTTGAAATGTTACACAAACCCGATGACTGACAACGAATCGATGGATTCATACAAATTGCTTTCCAGAATAAACGAATCACCTGTGTTACTTTTATTATTTTTATGACGCAGCATGTTTTTTTCCTTTGTATGAGTGAGAAAAGTGGAAAATTTTGTTGCATTTTCAACAGAGTTTGTCTTGTTAGAAGTAAAATTTGAAACTACGGACACGGATTCGTTCTTCGGTTCTCCTTCCTCAAGTTTTTCACTTGATCTATTCATTCCAGGATTCTTTGAAGACGCATCTGCATCCACCAAGAACAAATTCCTCACATCAGACACACTCATCTTTAGAACTCAGTTCGCCTCAATAAGACCTTTAAATAAGACCTTCTACATTTTCGCTAATGTTTACAAAGTTGGAAAGACGCCAACCCTTAACAAACCTCATACCGGATGGTAAAAATTGATTCGAAATGCATTTTCATAATTAGTGATGATCGTCTGGTATTGTTTCTTTTACAAAGGTGGACGTTAATTGAATCGTTTTCCCGTAATGTGATTGTTGCTATTGAACAATGCAGGCCACATTGCGTATGTAGCATTGTGTAACACAGGCACTGTACCTGTACATGGGCTAATGTTAATGGCAATCAATAGTCTGCCTTTGTTGTAATTTTGCCTTATTTGTACTCTTTCAACTGGATGTCATATTGAAAATACACGCATTCATTCTACTGATAGTTACGTTGAAAATAAAAGCAATTATAAATATGTTTTGTTTTGTTTTGCAGTTTCCATTATGCAGTTTCAATTGCTAGGCTCTTATCATTTTCTTACATTTTCGAAAATTTCTTCACAAGAATTAAATAAATTTTCACTAGTACATATCAGAGTACTTCTGAGTAACAAGTAGCATCATCTACAGAATAACAAAATCATATAAAATGAACATAACTTTTTTTAAAGTAATTTTTTTTAAACTGAAAAACAGTTCAATGCCTTTTGAAAGCGAGAAAAAATTTGAAAAATGAGAGAGATAAAGAAATCTGAGAATAAATAATGAAAGGAAAAGAAGGAATGTAGGAAGTTAATAAGAGATGAGAGAAAATTTATCCCGAGAAGTCATCCAGGGAAGAGAATTGGAAAGAAAAAGAGAGAGAAAAAAAATTTTAGAAGAAGATTAAAAATAAAAAGATGAAATTAAAAAGGAAGAGACGAAGAGAGAGAGAGAGAGAGAGAGAGAGAGAGAGAGAGAGAGAGAGAGAGATGGTGGGTAGGAACAACTAGAAAAATATTCAACTTTATGATCAACTGGAAATGATATAAATAGCCATTAATTAGTTTGCAAACCAGCAAAAAGAATAACGAGATGATGACACACAAAACGAAAACACAAAGTAAAGATGCAATAAGGATGAAGACGATGAAGAAGGCTTTGAAGGAAACGAAACAGAAAGTTTTAGAAATTGTGAGAGTCTGAAATATTTTTAAGAATTCGTGCGTGTGTTACGAATGGGAAACATTATAATCATATGTTTGTGACACAATGTGGTGATAATTTATTAAATGGAAATAATAATAATTCATTCGCCAGGTGATCAAATCGACAAAAATAAATGCGCCGAACGTGCTCGGAATGCGACTTTTCTTTCGAAAATGGTTTCTATCTTTTCTCATTTTCTTCGTTTCTTCTCAGTTCTTGTGAAAATTGTTTTTTGAAAGTGTAAAATTTTCAGAGATGTCAGAAAGTTTTGTTCAAAAATAAAATATAAAATATTTTTTGTTATATAAAAGTATGGAATCCGTGTAAAAATTTTGCCTGGTTGAAAAGGTTATTTCCTTTGGTGGTGTTATCAACTTGTTAATTGAACGAAATTGAGTTATTCTGCTGGTTCTGATTGAAATTTTTTTAGAAATATATTTATGGCTTCAAAAGTTTTTCAATTTTTCACATTTCATTTTTTAGCTAAAATATTATTTTTGACGTATTTATTATTTTTCATTCCGTAAGTTAATTGATTGTTTATTTATTAAATATTTAAATTTTGAAACAGCTTTGAAATTTTCCGAAACAATTCCACACGCCATGCTCAATAAACATAAGCGCTTTTGTTTTTAACAATAATAAATGTGTCAATTAAAACAACAAAAAATGAAAAATAAAAAATTTACACAACAGAACTAATAAAAAAACTTTTCGAAATTGAAAACACAATAAGCGTTCGTGTGTGTGTGTGTGTGTGTGTGTGTGTGTGTATATACGTATGTGTGTTGTGTATGTATGTTTGTGTGTGTGCCTGTTTGTATGCGTTCGTGTGTGTGTGTGTTGTGTTGTGTGTGTGTATGTGCATGTATGTGGCGCAACATAGCGTATAAGATAGTGGCCAGTGCAGTAGCTGTTGCAGCCACGTTTAATCCAGCGTCTTCGCCTTTAGACATCTCCGTTCTAAACTTAAGTGGAATTAAAACAAGAGGTTGCAGAAAAATTCTCTCCAACAAAACGATGACGACAATGATGATGGGGCTGTTTGTTGAAGTTAGCGGTGGTGATGGTCATACTGATGATGAAGATGATTAAGATTTTCGCGAAGATGACTGTTCGGTACAATGGTGTAAAGATAGTTTGTCAATTTATTTGAAATTTTGCCGCGAAAATTAAAAAAATCTATTTTTCTTTTTTAAACTTTTGACAGGCGAATAAAAGATCACTTCATTAGCTGAACGTTAAAATGAAAAACCAAATCAAAAGTAACGATGGGGAAAATTAAATAGACAATTTTTTGGTGACATCTGGTTTAAAAAAAATTATTGATCATTCATTTGGTAATAGTTTGGAGTAATTAGTGTTATTGTTATCATATATTCTTTTGTTCGTTCATTCATTTATTCGTTCTAAATTTTGGAATATTAAAATGTTGTCGAAAAAAAAACAAAATTGTAAATCTTGAAAAATGTTAATTCACGAAAAATGTGTGAGAGAGCCAAAAAAAATTGAAAATAATGTGGTAAAAAACACTAAGAAAGCTTCTTAACTTTTTTTAAAACATTTCTCTTGCGTGAATGGATTTCAAAATTTCAATCTTTCCATCATTCGTTCATTCGTTCGTCCATTCATTTGTTCGTTCATATATAGAGTACATACACGCACACACACACCCACAGACGCGCAAACAAAAGTAATGCCTGTCATAAGGTCACACACACACACACAGACACACACACACACACACACACACACACACACACACACACACACACACACACACACGTTGTACATTTTACAGTCAATAATAACATCGACCATCGTCTAGTACAACATTTGAGTGATACAAACATACGCGTGTATGTATGCGTATGTGTGTGTGTGTATGTATGTGTGTGTGTTTATATGTTTTTATGTGTCTGTATATGTGTGTATGTGTATATACGTATGGAAAAATTTTTTCTAATACACAAAAATAGTAAAAAAATTATTGTTTACTCTTAAAACAGCAGAAATAAACAAAAACAAAAAGACAATAAACAAACCATACAGGCCAAAAACCAGCAACAACCAGCAACAACCAACAACAACCAACAACCTCCACACGTGATTGAAAAGAAACGCATACATACAAACACACACACATGGAGGCAGGCAGGAAATGAGATTATTGTTACTAGTGTTGCTCTAGTAAGACGACGCTGTATGTTGATAACAGCTGGAGGAAGTATCAGCTATCCAGCCGACAGGAAAATAAATACTGAACAATTTTTGGACATATTTAGCCGGTATCTGGGTTTAAAAGTATCACGGTATTTAGGTATACTGTTTGTGATATGTGTGTAGTTGTGTGTGTATTTGTGTGTGCAGTTGTGTGTATACGTGTGTTTATCAAAATATGTTATAAAATATGTTTCTATACCTAACCAAAAAATTTCGAAAATGAATAACTTAATGTAAATATACAAAAAAGTGTATGTAATAGCGATGACGATGATGACAACACTGATCATGACGTCATTGTTGACGACGACGATGACGTCCAACAACAATGATTGATGGTAGCAACCTTGCACAACTGCATTCATCAAGTTAAACATTTTCAAATAAAATTACACCAAAAACATTCGTCTCTAGGTAGAAAAAATCCACCCACTCACCTCTACAAACAAACAAACACACAAATACAGATCCATAAATACTCACAAATACCTACAGTTACCAACACACATACGCAGACATAACGCCAAATTTTTGCAGTGCAAAACATGCGTGCATTGTGCGTGAAGGAAGCTTAATTCCTCTGATGATAAATTATTGAAAAAATGATTAAAATATTCATTTTTAATCTTGGCAATTAATTTTAAAGGTTTTAACTTTTTTCCCTTTCTACTTGCAAAGTCGTTTATTCTGGAGCCCATGAACAAAACATGATGATCAGATAGAGACAAACACACGCAAGCACGTACACTCACACACATAACGATACATACACACACACACACTCACAGGCACACACACACAGGCACGCACACAACTGTCTTACAAAGGTAATTACCAAAATTTCAAATGACATACATACACTTGTTTACAAAACAAGCAGAATATTATACTTTTACATCAACGAAATGCATTTTCAAATATTTATATACACATACACGGACTCACATATACATAAACCACACACACACACACACACACACACACACACACACACACACACACACACACACACACATACACACACATACACACACATACACACACAAATTTAAAAAGTTTGCAATTTCAAAACTCCAGTCAACACCCTGCAAGAGAACATTTCTCCATAATGAATCAGCGAAAATTGTTGAACTCTAAACTCAAAAACAATAATCAAATTAGTGCATCCCGTCCTTAGCGGGGTGTACTAATCTATGATTACTCGCATCAAATCTCTTGGCTACCAGCGTTTTATTTGAGTGATATTTGGTATTCTAACTAATTAATTCTTTGTTTGTCTCAAAATATCTTTGCTATTTATAGGCTATTTAAAAATTGCAGACATTTCATTGATTTCATGATAAATATTTTCACATATGATTGTGAATTAATAAATTTCTATAGAATATTATTACACCTGCATACGGACGCACACGCACTCACAAACACACACGCAGGCACACACACACATTTATATATACTTACACACATATATACAATACATATGTTGGAAGAAAACTATATTTTATACAGTACTGTATGAATTCTACAGAATTGTTGACATTAATCAATTTAAAGTTTGTCTTTTCAATTTTCCTAAGTAGAATTTCCTGGAATTGTTCAAATTGTTGAAAATAGAATTATCCAAGTTCATCGTGAA